GGTGAAGCTTAGGCTTCTGTTTGGGTTTCGCTCTGATAGGATGTGACATCGGGATTAGCTAGACTTATTGTTAAATTATTATTATTTTTCTTTTGTAATTTTTATGTTATTTATGTTGAAAGTGTGTATTTTTGTCATATTATAATTTTACTAAAAGATTATAAGTTAATTCCTAACTAGGAGGCCCTGCCACCTTTACTGGGATTAATTTATAATCTTTGTTTTATAATAACTTCTTGAGTGTAATATTTATGTGTATGTATTATGAATGTGCATCTTCTACCTTATGATACTTATTGTTTTATATCATTCTATGAAAATCTTTTATAAATATAGTTTATGTTTATTAATGATATTGGGATAGAGGGTGTCACAAACTAGAATATAAAAAAAAAAAAACTTAACTATTTTTAATAAAATCTAAATTGAACTTAAGTTTGATTTTAAAAACTAAATGATTACCAATATCAGTTTTGTTTAGTTCAAATCCCATGAAAAATTTGATTTAAAATACAAAAATAGTTTAATTAAGCACAAAGTGTATTGCAAGTAAATGAAATTATCAACGACTAGTGATTACATAATTACTACATTATATGAGCTTGAATTATTTTTCTTTATTTTCTGATAAACAATTTTAATTGACTTACCACTTTAAATTTTTTAGTTTTTCCAAATTAAACAACATTTGACATTTTTTAGTTTATTAGTATAAATTTAAAAATAAGAGTTAATTTGAAATAACTTTTAGAAATATAGTTGACTAAAATTGAAAATAGTTTAACTTGATTTTTTTTAAACTATTTTATAGTTTAATTCAATTTAAATGAACTACTTTTATAATTCAATTTAATTAATATATAATTTAGTCTACTTCAACATTTTAAATACCCCTAATTAAAACATTAGAACGTGATTTGTTAAGTTCCAATTAACTGACTTAATAAACATCTCAACAAACCTCAATGAAATCCCGATAATAGTAACCCTTCATCTTGATATAGTACTAATTCATAGAAATGAAAAAAAAAAAAGAAAAGAAAAAAGACCAAATCAAATTTCTAGCATTATCCTACAAAACTCTTGCATTTGATCCGGAGGCAAATCCAAGCATATGTTAAGACCCCCTTGGTCTTGTGGCCCTGGCAACATCATGACCAAACCAGGCTTAACTGCAAGTGGGGTGGCACACTTTAGTCTACCCCATGCAAAAAGTTGCTCCTCTAACCCTAATCTCCACCATGCCACCAAGGAGAAACTATCTTCCATGCATGGTGCCCCTTTGTTCTCCTCTAACCAGTCCAAACCTGACTTAATGTACTCATCATCCAACCTTTCAATCCCTTCTTTCACTTTCCTTATGTGACAACCATCTTCTAGCTCCTTTAGCTCCCTCACTGTTGCTCTTGCAAAACCAGGCACCAATGCATTGCCTACAAATAGAGGTGATCATAATAATTGGTTATAAAAAAGTTAAGTATAACTATAAATATTAACTAGTTTATAATAATCCATTAAGTAAAATATGGTTATAAAAATTAATCATATATGATAGGTGATTATTATAATCAAACTATAATTGGTTTTGATTTGGAAGAAGCAGTTTTAATTTATTATATCCAAAATTAGTTATAACTAAAATTAATTTTAAAACAAATATTTTTTTAACCTTTAAAATCAATGTAAGAGAATTTTTTATTTTATGTAACTAAAATTTATAATCTTTTTAGGATAATTTCAATTTATAATAAATAAATGCCTTTTAATATATAAATCATATAATAATTGAAAACAGTAATAAAAAAATATTAGAATATAGAGTTATTTTTTGTTATTGATAATTTGTTTAAAAATTATTAAAATTTAATTTAAATGATATTTAAAAAAGATTAGATGTTAAAAACATCCTTAAAAATGTTGTTGTTAAAAAATGGATAAAATACTATAGTGAAATAATAATTCCTAAGAACACTCATTTTAAGTTATTCTAATTTTATATATATTGTCAAACTTTTAAAAGAAATTAGTGTCTGTATTTGAAGGAGAGGAACTCCTTAATAATGAAAAAAAATGTAAAAATGATTATTAAAACATAAAAGTAAATGTAAAAGTGTATTTAGTATATAATCAATTTTATTTATAACTAATTACATAACCAGTGTTAGATATATAACCGTTATATAATCAATTTTATCAAATGAAAATCGATTATCTTAATTATCAACTTTGAATCATTACTGTATATTATGTTCATGAACAAAAAAATATCCTTTATATAAAATCGGTTATGATTTGGAAATAAAAACCATTGGTTAATATCAAACCTGCAAAGCCATCTGGGAGTTGAGGAACAACCCTTTTCCTAACATCCACAGGAAACAGCATTGTGGAAACTCTATCATCTTCCATACATGTTGCAATGCTTCTTGCCTTCCATATCTTTGCAGCCACTACCTGAAAAGTTGTGGTGCCCCTCAAAGTGTTGTCCTTCATCAGAGCCTTGGTTTTTAAGCTAGCAATGTTTTGTGGCGACAAATAAAGCACTTGAATCTGATTTTCTGGCACGGTAACATTATTGGTGCCACTTTTGCCTCGGAGGGTGAACAAGTTGTGTGTGTGAGGGAATTTTGAATACTCAAAATGTGGATGTGATATCTTTGGAGGGTTTCGAGCTCTCAGAAGTGCCCTATCTGCATTAGGCACTATGATGAGGCTATCACCACGTGTTAGTGCAGCTAAATTTACCTCGAAATCTTTTATTGCTATACCGTCCAGTGTACAGTGATTGTAGTGAGAAGCAAGTGCCAAACTTCCGCAACCAAATTGAGTTAGCTGTCATAAATAACAAATAATTATGTAGTTATCTCAGAGGACTTCTTTTGTGTATCCTTTGAATAAAATTTAAAAGGTTTTTATAAACATCTTTTTCGTCACTATAATTATATAAAAGTTGGTTTTTAGTTTTTAATTTTTAAAATATCAAACTTAGAACAAGCTTTTACATCATATTTGCGAAGATAGAAAAAATATTTAACTAAAAGATAAAACTAGTTGTTAAAGTTTTAATTGATGGAACATCATGATAAGTCAATGATTCTTTATTTTTGTATTTAACTATGGAAGAGTATTAGTAACATTTCGTAACATTTTTATTTTATATTCTATAATTTTTTATTAGTTAAAATTTATTAAAAATCACAGCATCATAAATGAGATTGATTATAGAATGGGTAGATATATAAACAGACTCATTTAGGTTGATCAAGTTAATTTGAAACGATAATCACACTAGTAGAAAATAAGTATATTACGTCACCCCTTTTACGTCGGAAATACGAAAATCCGACGTAAAAAAAATGCGGTGGCATTTTTGTAATTTTTGCGAACTTTTTTACGTCGCACCTGGTAAGGTCCGACGTAAAAAGTCCAATCTACGTCGCACCTGGGAAGGTGTGACGTAAAAAGTCCAATCTACGTCGCACCTGGGAAGGTCAGACGTAAAAAGTCCAATTTACGTCGCACCCTACCAGGTCCGACGTAAAAAAGACGCAAATTTGAATAAGAGAGCGCGAGGCACACCGCGCGCATTCACTTTTCATTTTTTTCTCTGTAAACCCTCTTCCTCTTCGTTGTGTAAATCCCTCCGCCTCCTACTCCTTCGGTCCTTCCTTCCTTATAATTTTTCTATCATTCAGTCTCCGTTCATACGACAAAAACAAGCAGTTTGTGTTCATACGACTAAATGTGTATTTTGAACTTATTATGTGTGTTTCTTTATATATTTTGAGTAGGAACAACCAGTGGCTGAAGCCAAGCCTGAGGAGAACAGAGAAGAGAAGCGATTCTGGGAAGAAAAGCGATTCTGGGAGGAAAACGCAGAAGAAAAGCGATTTCTGGGAAGCAGAACGGGCCGTTCTGCAAGGAGAACGGCCCGTTCTGCAAGGAGAACGGCCCGTCCTCCAAGCAGTATAGGCCGTTCTCCAAACAGAATGCCCCGTTCTGCAAGGAGAACGGGCCGTTCTCCAAGCAGAACGGGCCGTTCTGCTGCATTATTTTTCTTTTTTTTTTTAAAATTTTTACGATTTTTTACGTCGGACCTGGGTATGTCCGACGTAAATTTACGTCGGTTTTTGACCCCCGACGTAAATTTTACGTCTCCCGCTTCTACGTCGGACGTTTCCCTGACGTAAAAACCCCTAAATAACCGACGTAAAAAGGGTCTTTTGTACTAGTGTCACATAAACATGCAAGCTGTAGCAGCACACAACAAGATTTAAAATCCATTTCTGACATTGTTTTAAACAAACTTTTTTATTAGTTTAAAATTTGTTAAAAATAACAAAATTTTGTAAGCTTATATCTCTTATTTTATGAATCTCTTATAATTTTGTGATTTTACAATAAATTAAAACCAATAAGAAAAAATGAATTTAAAAGGATGTATTGTAGACTATGTGACTAATACTCCTAGTATTGTCCCAATTATTTGGAGAAAACCGTCACTTAGTAAAAGGAACTCACTTTCAATCTATATTAGCTATGTCATCACATGATAAGAAACTCACACGTTTGAGAGTAAAATGAGAAAATAAAAATCAACAGAAATACCAACAGATAAAATAATTAAGAGAACCAAAACAAAGTTATATATATCATTAATTAGTACTAAATTGTTATTTAAGAAACGTCAACTTTATATTTTGTGATCAGTGCAATCATGGAACAACAGAGTTTGAAAGAACTGAAGGTAGCATTAACCTGTAAGGATGCAAGGGGCTTTTGACTCAGGTCAGTTTCTTGATCACCCCCTTCATGCAAGAAAACAACCAATTCCCTCAACTCCTTATTAGGTGCAGAAATCACACCAAACTCACTCAATTTTGTGTCAGTTCTTGCAGCTGCAACCACAACACCAGCACCATTGCAGTCTATTTCGAACCGATGAGCGTCCTCCAAACACGGCACTAGCCTGCCAGCCATAAAGTCATACTGCACAAGCATTTTACTAAGTGCACTGTACAATTTCCCACAAATCTCATCAAAACTCATTTGGGTGTTTGGAGGGTCAAAAAATGAGGCAGAGTCTTGGTAAACTACAAGGGACAAGTCAATATTGGACAAGAACATTCGCTTTCGTGGTGTAGGTTGCTCAGGAGAAACTACAACTTTCTCCACTAGTTCAATCCTTCCCATTGTGCACAATTATTACACGACCAATTAATATTGTTGTCCCCTTACTATAATAACTTTGGTTAATAGTACGTGGGAATTTGGAAAAATATATATAAGGTGCTTTTGACAATGTCTTGAGCTGCAAATTTATTTAGTAAGTCAGTTTCGTAATGTTACTTTGAAGTTAGGCTTATTTCTCAATGTAACTGTATGAAAGGAGTTGTTTAATAATGCTTTGTTAGACAAATGTGTGTTTGATTATTTGTTCATAAATTTGCTGTATAACTGACAAGTGACAACTGTTATATTTTGATTGAATGAGGAATGTGGTAACAGTTTAGGTGTTATATTTTGGTATTGTTATGCTCATTCATTTTGAGGGGGTTAGCGTAAAAGGTCATTATTACTAAATTTTGAAACAACCCAATTAAACAAGGCTACGGTACAAAGGAACCCAAGTACCTGATCCATAATCATAGATGAACAAACTGTCACTATAACACAAATAACTTTTAGCAATATTTGAAAAATATTACTTAATTATGTATATATGTTACTAATTTGCTTTTACAACATATTATTAAATATTGTATATAGTCTATATTGTTAAAGATTTTTAATAACGTTTTTACACAATTAGACAATATTTTTCTAATGTTATTAAAGTAATATTTTTGTAAAATTTTAATGATGATACTAACTTTTTGTTAAGTTTATAAAATGACAATTAACTTTAATTTAGATATTACTATCAATTATTATATTTTTATGCCTCCTAAACTCCTAAGAGTTCTTTAAGAGAAGATTAAAGATATTCTTAGTTAGTCACCACCAATTATATATTAAATATCAAAGTTTGTTTATTTTAAGTATAACTATATGATTATATATACTCTTTATGAGTTATTCATTTATTCCATGTGAGACTTTAATTATGGGTAACAATTAGAGATGAGAGAAATATATTTTTTTACTCGATGTAAGAATTTGATTTTAGAAGTAATTATAATAACATTTTTCAAAAAAATATTGAAAAATAACCTATGTGACATTTTTTTACTCGATATGAGACTTTGATTTTGAAAAAAATTAAAAAAAATAATATTGAAATAAAAAGTGTTACTCTATCTATAATGACATTTTTCAAAAAAAAAAAAGTTACAAAATAACCTATTTATTCAATATATAGTAACATTTTAATAAATGTAAGAAAGAAAATGTTGCTAAAGAATTAAAATGTAGTAAATTTAAAGTTCTACGTCAAATCCCAACGATCTAGCCGTTAATTTAAAGTTCTTAATGCACAGATCAAATCTGTAAATTTTTAAAAGTTCTGAAAATCATTTGATACTGCATTTCATTAATTCAAATTGACGAATAACATGTTTTTATGATTATCCTTCAGTTTGAATTAATGAAACGAAGTATCAAATGATTTTAAATTTTTTTAAAATTTTCAGACTTAATTTATGTATTAAGAACTTTAAATTCAACAATTAAATCGTTGAGATTTGATGTAGAACATAAGTTATTAAACGGAGTAAGTCTAGGTAGACTTACTTATGAAGTAAAACGGATCCTTCGTCATATATATATATATATATATAACTTTTTAGACGTGCTTTCATCGATAACCCCAATATATATCATTACGCAACGTTATACTTTCTGACCCATGAATACTTTCGAGAGAAAAATATGCACATATATATATATATATTGAGTGATTTGGATACATTAGGTTTGATTCACACATTTGAAGTTGGGGTTTGGTTTTGGTTGGAGATAGGGGTTTGTTGAAGATACCAAGGGAAGAAGAGTTTTCGAGGCCTCCTTTGAATGTGAGTGTTGACTCTGGGTAGGTGAGTTAAAGTAGCCTTAACTTTGAATGCAGGTAACAACAAAAAGTTGGTTACATGATTCTCTAATGGTACATAAACTTTTTTCTCATGTCATATGTCACATGCCACACATTTTAACTATAAAAGTTATGCATTTCAAACATGAAACAATGGACTCATGCTCGTGATCTTCAACATATCGTAACCACCACTTATACGCAAATAACCATAACTTATCATTTAAGTAATGACTTTATTGATTTGAAAAATAAAAATTCTTAAATCACATAATTTTTTATTTTAAAAAGTATTGAGTGTATATCATGTGTGTGTTACTATTATCAAAGTGTTTAGGATGATGATTTTTTGTTATAATTTTCAACAAAATAAACGTTTGTTTGTAAAATAAAATATATATCGAATATAACCACTTAAGTGACAAATGTAACCTTAACATTGAATATTGCAAGCAATAACTAAAGGTTGGTGACACAATTCTCTTATGATATACATGTTAACTTTCTTTCTTATGTCATGTCACACCTTTTTAATATGTGTGTGTGTAAATGGAGGAATTTTAAAATCGTTTTTGCAAGTGGAATCTTTTTTGTCCAGTAAAAATATTATTTTGAATTCTTAAGAACTATACAGGATTTGCTTAACCAAGAATTTTGAGTCTGAAAGTTCATCGTTTGCACAAAGAAAATGTTTCTTAAAGGAAAATTGTTTCTTAAGGTAATGAATTAAACAAGGGTATTTTTCGTCTGAAAATAGTTTTAGTGAAAAATAAAAAATGGACGAAATTTTCAATATGATGTAGTAGTTAAGCGAGATTGCATCTGAAACATAAATAAATAGTGCAAGGATTTTTTATACTGATTCCCTCAGACTGAGTTACGTCCAATCTCTTTCAATTGAAGGGTTCCACTAGATATTCATTAAAGTACAAGTATTATCACCACTTCTGGTTTGCCGAGTATTATCGACCCCTTCTGGCTCATCAACTTCACTCGTCAACGTTGTAGACACCCAATTTCGTCCGGGAGGCACAAAACAAGAAGATAGGACATCAGAGGGCCTAAAAGCCCAAATTTGCTATTTTCAGTGGCCCGGAACGGGCCGTTCCCAAGTCTGGAACGGGCCGTTCTCGAATTGGAACGGGCAGTTCCGAGGCTTCTAAAAGGCCTAAAATTGTAGATTGGAACGGGCCATTCTAAACCAGAACGGGCCGTTCCAACCTATCAAAAGGGGGCTTAACTTGAACCTTGGAACGGCCGTTCTGAAATCAATACGGGCCGTTCTGGTTACCCGGAACGGGCCGTTCTGATTTTAGAACGGGCCGTTCTAGGGTTCAAATTAACACACAACGGCCATATCCAGAACGGGCCGTTCCAATTTTGGAATGGGACGTTCTGGACCCTTTCCGAAGTCTATAAATAGACAGTTAGGGCTCATTTTTCTGGACTCCAAAATTTCGTCCAAACTCCTTAGAGTACGAAATTTCTCTCTTTTTCTCTCTCTCCCTCTCTTGTATTTCTTGAGATTTTTGTTAGGCATTGTAGTGTGAAGGGTTGCCACAAAGCACCTAAAATCTTCCTTTGAAGATTTAATAGAGCTCATTCAAGAGGTATTTCAGTTAATCTCTTTCTCCTTTTTTATTTATTTCTTCTCTATAATTAATATTGTTATAATAAAAATAATCATGTAAACATTTTAGGGTTAATTGTATAATTTAAATTTCAAGCATGTAAATAATTATTAATAAAAGGGATTTAATATTTCTATTATTATTATTTATAATTCTAACTTCATCATAGGGTACCGATTAAGGGCGTTGTAGGAGTGCTTAATACATTCTCTACACGTAATCGACTCCCGAACCCAATTCTGGTTATCAAGGTCATTATTGGATTTTTAAAAAACATTTTCTTTTTCCAATGTTTTGAGTAAAATATTGGTGGCGACTCCATGAACCTATTTTCAAAACCATTAATTAAGGATTAGTCTGGTGTCCGGGCATTCCTTAATTGATGAGATCTTTAAAAGGATGTCTAAACCATAGGTCGCAAGATCGGAAATTTTCGGGTTGCGACAGATGGCGACTCCACTGGGGAAGTTTAAAGAGGGTCAGGCCCATTTAATTGATGAAGTTAATAAAATAAAAATAATAATTTAAATATTTTTCCCCTTTACTTTGTTTGCTTTATTTGTTTGGCTTTAATATCTATTTGCTTATTTAAATTCTGCACTTTTTGAGATAAAAATTGTACACAAACCTTTGCACACAACAGTTCCCCCTACACCCGGGGGCATGAGGGTAATAAACATAGGGAGTGGTTGACGTACGACCGGCCCAAGTTTGGCCTTGGAGCCTGCGAGCCTTGTCGGAAATCACACTCAAGGTGATAACCGGTTACTCTAGCCCGAAATACTGCGACAGACCTTAGAGTTTGCCAGGTGACGGCGACAGAGATACTGGGTCCCTATAATGGGGGCACCTTGGGGGCCTTAAGACCAGTGAGATTAGAACTTTCCTATACAATGCACTTTTCTTACAGGGACCACAGACCAAGGATTTAAACGTGACTGTTCGTGGGTGTACATTTGTTTGAGCATATGTGTGTTGCATTTGTTTGTGTTTATTTATTTCAAATAGAGAAGAATTATAAACAAATAGATATTAATAAAAAAAATATGATAAAAATTTAACCCCCTTCTATATACCCTAACTCTAAAGCATCATATAGGGTAGTCTATCTAAAAAAAACAAAAAAATATATAAAAAAAATCATGCATCATAACCCTTAGTATAAAAAAACATGATAAAATTTAGGTAAAAAAATAAATATCAT